ACAAAGGAAGTGATTGTGAGATATAAATCAACTAACAGAGGAGAGATTACAGATTATGAAATATATAAAATAAAAAATAACAAATTTTTGTATGTGGTAAAAATACATAAATTCATTGTATTATTTAAAACACTCTATTTAACAAGATTTTCAGACTTGCAATGCAAACAAAACCTAAGACTTAATATTTTCCAAACAAAAATTATAATTAATTAAATTTTATATTCACTGAAAATATTTCTCATAATTACTATATACTGTTGAGGTATATAGCCTTTCTAGCACTTTAGTTTGCTCATGCAAGCACAAAGATAATACATTCCTCTTTTAATAAACTCAATAACCTTCGATTGAGAAGGATCTTGTTATGGCTTTCATTGCTTTCTTTCCCCAAGTTGTAAAAACAAAAAATAATTTATAAGAATATTTTTAATAACAAGAATATTTTTAATAACAAGAATATTATCCATCATAAAAGCCATTAACATTAAACAAGAACTCGGGACTCGTTAGTGATTCTACCATCAAATGTTTCTCCTCTAATGGAAGAGCAACAAAATCAGTGAAAGTTCAATCTGTCAAAGAAGGCTTATTTTGATCTATTTTCTTTACCCATCGCCGATACCTAGGTGTTGCAAAAGAGCAATATGCACATTCTGTGAGTGGTTCTCAAATAGAGTGAGTTGAAGAATTTGTTAAATTATATTCCCTTAAGAGTACCTAGCAATTTTCACTACTAAGGCCTAACCTACCCCAACTTATAAAAGTAAGCAATGGCATGGTTCCAACATACACTAATCATCATTCTAAAAGAACGAAAACGAGGTAAGATTACAAATTATACCATCCTCAACTATGCTCCAATGATAAAGCAAAGGAGTGCATCTTACGCAGTATTTTTTTCCCTAATAAAAAACCAACATAGCTTGAGGACAATGTTTAAAACAAGCCATAGTGATACAAAAAACGGTTGTGATTCCAAAATTAACCCAAACCACAATAGAAACGAAAAATTATTGCTTTAAAATCTTCAAAACAAGAAATAACAAACACAAATAACAACATAACGTGAGGATGAATGCGGTGTGCCCTGGCTAGATAGCAGAAGGGATGGCTGACTGAAACTTGTGGCAGCGACCGGAAGGAAAATGTGGATTGGCGGCAACAACAGGAAGGCAGATGTGGAATGGCGGCAGCAGCAGGAAGTTTGGGATGCATATTACGCAGTCTTTTTTCCTCTAATAAAAAGCAAACACAACTCGAGGACAATATTTAAAACAAGCCACAACGATATAAAAGCGGTTGCGATAACAGAGTTAACCAGGACCATAATTGAAATGAAAACTTATTGCTTAAATTCAAAACAGTTAAAACAAAGAATCTACAAAACAAAAAAAAAACGACGAGCAAACACAAATAACACCCCAGTCTGAGGACGAATGTGGTGTGTCCCAACTGAACAGCATAAGGGATGGTTAGCTAGGGCTTGCGGCAACAATCGAAAGGCTAATGTGGATTGGCGGCTGTAACAGGAGGATTGGGTGTTAAGTGCAGTACTAGGAGAGGGTGAAAGGGTTGTGAGGGTAGTCTGGTGCAGGAGGATTGGGTGTTAAGTGCAGTAGTAGGTAGGGCTGTCAATTTGGCTCGTTGTTCGTGAACAACTCGTGTTCGGCTCGTTAAGCAGCTCGTGTTCGGCTCGTTCGTTAAGCCTAATGAGCCGAACACGAACAAATTTTTAAGCTCGAAATGTAAACGAGCCAAACACGTTGTGGAATGGCGGCAGCAGCAGGAAGTTTGGGATGCATATTACGCAGTCTTTTTTCCTCTAATAAAAAGCAAACACAACTCGAGGACAATATTTAAAACAAGCCACAACGATATAAAAGCGGTTGCGATAACAGAGTTAACCAGGACCATAATTGAAATGAAAACTTATTGCTTAAATTCAAAACAGTTAAAACAAAGAATCTACAAAACAAAAAAAAAACGACGAGCAAACACAAATAACACCCCAGTCTGAGGACGAATGTGGTGTGTCCCAACTGAACAGCATAAGGGATGGTTAGCTAGGGCTTGCGGCAACAATCGAAAGGCTAATGTGGATTGGCGGCTGTAACAGGAGGATTGGGTGTTAAGTGCAGTACTAGGAGAGGGTGAAAGGGTTGTGAGGGTAGTCTGGTAAGGTAGTGTAGCCGTGAAGAGAAAATAGGGTGAGGAAGGGACTTACGGGTTGAGGGGAAGGCTGGGTGGTATTGCTAGAGGACCGGAGGGCTTGTAACGGATGGTATGGGGGTTAAGGCAAGGTCGAGAATTGGTATTGGAGTTACGGGTGGGAGAAAGTAAATGGAAAGAAGATTACCACATTCCAGAGGCCGACAGAGGGGAAACTGGTGGTTAGAGGAGTGTTGGGAGGTGAAAAGAGGAGACAAGAGGAGTGGGAGAGATAGACGACAACAGGGAGAAGAGCAAGAAGGCTGGCAGCGAGCAGGGGAGGGCAGAACCAAGCAATAAAGGGGATACACACCATCGCAGGCCAAGTTATAATCGGGGCACTACAGACATAGAAAGGAAAAGGGGACGTTGACAACTGTACTAATAGAAAACTCAGAAAAAAACATAATACAAAACAGATAAAGCGACATATAAATAGTAGGTAACAAAGCAGGACCCCCCTCACTTGGGCGGCAACCCTAGTCCCCAAGACAAGGACCGACCCCCTATGAGACCCCATGTTGAACGGGTTCAGCCCAAGGTAAGTCATGTGTCATGTTGTATTCAAAAAATTCTCCACGAAAAAATATAGATGGGGGAATAAACAGAAGTATGCATAAAAAACACAAAACAAGCCCTTCTCACAATTCCAAGGGGAAAAAAGAGATTAATTAAAAAGGGAGACAAAAGGATGTGGAAGAAAAATATGAAAAACGTTTCCCAACTAATGCAAATGAAATATTTTGAATTTTAAAATTATTCAAAATAAGTGAACAAAATCTTGCTATATGAAATAAATCTAAGTTCACCAACACAATGTGCAACCCATTTAGCCTAATAAATAGGTGTTTTATCTCCCACAAGAAGGTCATGTGTTCAAGGCCAAGAATATACGGGAGCGTGCGTGAGACAAAAATAATAATAATAATAATAAGTTCATCACCACAAATCTATATGATACCGGAGTTAACCTAAAACAAGTTAGGAAAAATAAAATATTATTAATGAAAAGCAAATAGACGGTTACAATCCACACACTTGAAAGAGAAATTATAACAAACATGACACGGACTCATACAAAAGGCATGACCCATGGGTGGTGGAGGTAAGCTAGGTGGTTGAAACGGGGTTGAAGGTGGTTGGACCAGCCAAATGAAAGGTTGGAATCGCGTTGGCAGCAAAGCGTAAAGCTGGGACAAAAAGTGCAGCAGGTTGGAACAGCCAGGGGACAAAAAGAAAACAGCGGGTTTACTGTTTTCGAGACGACGACAATGAAGGGGCAAAGCGAGGGGAGTGCAGGGCAGCAAGAAAAAGCTGTCTGGAACAAAGGCAGCTGCCCGGAACCGAGCCAACGAGCAAGAAGGGCGGGAATGTGAAGACTGCAGTGAAAAACAGAAAAAGTCGCTGCCTTAAGGGCGGCTGTAGCAAGGAAGGACGACGTGGAGCAGCGGCGTGCAGTGGGGCAAGAATAAATCACCCCATTGGGGGCAAGATACAACCGAAACACCACTTGACCTTCCAATACAGTCCCCGAAGAAAAAAAAAAAGAACGTCAGCAGCTGTGAAATCTAAGTTTAGGACCAAAAATCTAAAAACAGATATCACAAATTTAAGCCCTAGATCACTAGGATGGTATCCCCCAATGGAAAGGGAGCGCCAAACCCATGTTGAAGAGTTGGTCAACTTCTTTCGGGCCTGGACTGGTTAAATCCAGATGAGCGAAGTCACATGAGTGGATTCCTGTTACACCACAGCAAGCCCCAACGCTGCCCTTAGCATCGAATGAGCAAAATCACAGGCACGGAAACAACACCCTGTTACGTCAAAGAAAGTGTGACTTTCCTTCACAACCACGTCACTATAAGCATTAGAAAATTTGAAGCATATTAACTTGAGCTTCAGTGGATCTTGAAGAAGAACATTGTATCTAAATTGACTTATATTCCTTCCCCCTCCCCCCACAACTCCTCAATTTCATAATCCCTAAACCATCGCTACCATGACCTTTTCAAAATTGTGCCTCACCTTAAAAATCACTAAGCTCATCATAATAACAAGTGATAAAAAGACTCTTGAGTCCCTGCCAAAAAACAATAAACAGAAGAGATTGTAGTAACCGTACAGCACAATTTGAAGCAACAATCCCAAGGCAGAGTTGCTTTCCATGAAGGAAAATTCATTTTTGCTACCTTAAAAATGATTATGATAAGATAGGCATGACAATTGAAATAGAGGTTAATGTCAGCCACCCAAAATCTCTCTTTCAATATTCTCCCTGGAAATTTATTTCATAGATGTACTACATCAGCTCAGTATCAAATCAAGCAACAACAATAATCTAACCAGCTGAGCCTGTTATTAGTGAGCTTAGGCTTTTACCGGAGTGATTGGGTCAGGAAATACTATGCATTGTGTATTTGAATTTGTGATTAAATTTTACATATATGAAAGCTTACCCATGCATGACAATATATATTTCACTTTTTAAAAGTTAAATAGTGGTATTTTTAAAGCAATATGAAAGATTTGAGTGGTGTAAATGTAAAAGGTAGAGTTTAGGTGTTAGATATGTAAAGACATAGGAATTGGGCGGCAATGTGTAAATTTCCCTTTGCTTTTTCATTAATTGAGTGCAGAATGCAGTAAGGAGCAACAAGAATATTTCCAACAACTCTGCCTACATAAGTAATATCTAGGGTTCAACATGAGTAAAATTGAGTCATCAAGCGCTAAGCTCCTGTTATCCACCATATATTAGTCGCATGTTATTAAGAGATAATCACACTTACGTTGTCATAAGCCTTAGAATATCTTGTGCTTGTGGTTCGCCAGAACGTTTTTGAGCTCCATATCGTTGGCAAGAAACTACATAAGTGAATTTCAAATCAGCCACAGCCTGGCACTGTGCCCATAAAGATCTTCCACTTGAGTGCTCATCAGAAGACAATTCGAGTGCTTTGTAGCCTTCCATTAGATCTAGACAAAGTAACAAGAAAAATAAATTAAAAAAAAAAACGCAAGCATCAGAGAAAGGAACCATTCTAAGAGCATGCTATTAGCAAAATAAGCAAATCAGTAAAAATAGCACAGTTCTTGTGTATTTACTTATCTCACACCTAAAATTTCATATTTACACACAAAGAACTTTGTGCTTTATAAACCTATGCATGAATAAGTGCTATTGGGTAAATATGAAAGTTCAGGTGTGAGATATGTAAATCCATAAAACTCGTGTTATACAAATATCAATTACCTTCATCTTTGGCCATGTCGAGGAAAGATTGAAGCTCCAGAGCTTTCCGATAATACATCATACCTCTAACTGAAATTTGGAATGGGAATAATGAGGAAAGCAATATATATATATATATAATATATATATAGCAAACAAATCTTTAAACGTAAGTTCAAAGAAAGACGGAGTCAAAACAGGATCACAAAGGACTTAAGAACTGCACCAGTGCGCGATAGTGTTTGCCCCCTGTATGATGCCCAAAGACGTAGTTTCTCCTGATGTTCAGTGTTGGATTTTAGTTCTTCTTCCAAATCACAGTTTACACGTTCAAGAAAGTTTTTCCATTCATCTGTGAAATTAGACAACCGGACAAGTTAGAATATAACATCCAGCACAGCAGTGCCTTCCGTAGAGTGCCAGCCAGGAGATAATACAAGAAAAAGGTACCTGGATAAATTTTCTGCAGATAAAATAGGATGGAAACTCCATCTTCGTTTTCCTCTTCAAGGTGAGGAAGGGAGAAAATAACATCTTCATTATAGTATGGAGTTAAAACACTGAAAACAAAGTTAACCGGAAAGAATGATAAGCAAATATTTCAATAAACAAGTTTCACAACAGATTTTATGTTCATAATTATTGTTCTTAAGGAATAATTGTACTATAGGGTGACACGGTTGTGGGATTTCTAGAAGCTCTTCAAGAGTCGGATTTAACTGGCACAGTTTTGGGATTCCTATAAGGTGTTTAAGCGTCCGATTTAGCTAAAAGAGGTTGTGAAATAGTAAGAGAATATGCAAAGTCAGCAAAATTTGGAAGTGGGCCAAGAGAAGTCCGGCAGTTTTCTTGACTAAAAAAAGCAAGAAGAACAGCAAAACGATTATTTCGGCAAGGCACTGCTACCGTGGAGGGAGATCCACCACCCTATTCCCAAACAAACAAAAGACATCAATGGCAAAGAAAAAACAAACAATATTCCTTTGGATAGAAAAATCAGAGAAAATGTTCTCTAAATGCAAAAATCAAAAGCATCTAAAAATTAGCAACTAACACGAGATAAATAGTTCCCAAGTTAGATAACTCAAATTATATTTCAAAAATTATAAAAAATGGGCCCACAAGGCATGTCAATGGGCGGGAGAGCCCCGCTACAGAACTCCACGGGACAGGATTCCATCTCGATCCCGATCCTACCCAAGTGAAGATCGTGGAACTGCTCCCTTGTCAAGGGCTAATTTGAAAAAAAAAAATTGCAGGTGTCAAGTGAAATGTAAGTGAGTGATGCGGGACGCATACCCTCTCAAAGATGCGGAATGGAATTTTCCCATGGAGACGGAAAGCCCATGATTCTGCGGTCTGCAAAATTCTTGTGATATCAGGAGTCCAATGCCGAAAGCCTTTTTTATTTTTATTTTTATTTGCTTTCCTTCATTTTTAGTAAGTTCACTTTTTCTTTTTATTCTTTCCTATTTTTCATTCAGTTATTTTCTATTCGGGAACTTTTATATACATTGTGGTAGAGCAGTTTGGATTACCAATTTTGATTTTATGAGTGTTGAGATACCCCGTTCACTATTTAATGCTCTTTGGAGTGTTGTAACATTTCCATTTGCAAGTGGAGCATTTGTAGTTTACAGATGAACAGGTGGTGGATCCCCCTCTCTATCTGTATCTCATCCACTCGCTGTTCAGCTCCAGATTGCAGCTGGACAACCATTGATAGCTTCTAGTTCGCTGTCCCATTGCCATTCGTCTCAATTATCAGTTTCCATCCATCGATATTGCGCCCACATGACTTGTCAATGGGCGGGAGAGCTCGGAGTGTTGTATCATTTCCTTTTGTAAGTGGAGCATTTGTAGTTTACATATGAACAAGTGGTGGATCCCCCTCTCTATCTGTATCTCATTCACTCGTTGTTCAGCTCCAGATTTCAGCTAGGCAGCCATCGATGCTGCTCCCACTTGTTGTTTACAGCAAGAAACAACCCTTTTTCCGCTTCTGGTTCGTTGTCTCGTTGTCATTCGTCTCAATTATCAGTTTCCATCCATCGATGTTGCGCCCACAAGGCATGCCAATGGGCGGGAGAGCCCGGCTACAGAACTCCACGGGACAGGATTCCATCTCGATCCCGATCCTACCCAAGTGAAGATCGTGGAACTGCTCCCTTGTCAAAGGGTTAATTTGAAAAAAAAAAAACAATGCAGGTGTCAAGTGAAATGTAAGTGAGTGATGCGCTTGACAATATGCAAATTTAATAAATATATATGAATTTTCCCTTGGAGACGAAAAGCCCAGGATTCCGCGGTCTGCAAAATTCTTGTGATATCAGGAGTTCAGTGCCGAAAGCCTATTTTGTTTTTGCTTTTGTTTTTACTTTTTTTCCTTCATTTTTAGTAAGTTTACTTTTTTTTTATTCTTTCCTATTTTTCATTCAAGTATTTTCTATTCGGAAAACTTTATATATATTGTAGTAGAGCAGTTTGGATTATCAAATTTTGATTTTACGAGTGTTGAGATACCCCGTTCACTATTTAATGCTCTTCGGAGTGTTGTATCATTTCCTTTTGCAAGTGGAGAATTTGTAGTTTAACAGGTGGTGGATCCCCCTCTCTATCTGTATCTCATCCACTCGTTGTTCAGCTCCAGATTTCAGCTGAACAACCATCGATGCTGCTCCCACTTGTTTACAGCAGGAAACAACCCTTTTTCCGCTTCTGGTTCGTTGTCTCGTTGTCATTCGTCTAAATTATCAGTTTCCATCCATCGATGTTGCGCCCACAAGGCATGCCAATGGGCGGGAGAGCCCGGCTACCAAACTCCATGGGACAGGATTCCATCTCGATCCTGATCCTACCCAAGTGAAGATCGTGGAATTGCTCCCTTGTCAAAGGGTTAATTTAAAAAAAAAAAAACATTGCAGGTGTCAAGTGAAATGTAAGTGAGTGATGCGGGACGCATACCCTCTCAAAGATGCGGAATGGAATTTTCCCTTGGAGATGGAAAGCCCACGATTCCGTGGTCTGCAAAATTCTTGTCATATCAGGAGTCCAGTGCCGAAAGCCTTTTTTATTTTTGTTTTTATTTTTTTCCTTCATTTTTAGTAAGTTTACTTTTTTTTTATTCTTTCATATTTTTCATTCAGGTATTTTCTATTCGGGAACTTTTATATATATTGTAGTAGAACAGTTTGGATTATCAAATTTTGATTTTATGAGTGTTGAGATACCCCGTTCACTATTTAATGCTCTTCGGAGTGTTTTATCATTTCCTTTTGCAAGTGGAGCATTTGTAGTTTACATATGAACAGGTGGGGGATCCCCCTCTCTATCTATATCTCATCCACTCGCTGTTCAACTCCAGATTTCAGCTGGACAGCCATCGATGCAGCTCCCACTTGCTGTTTACAGCAGGAAACAACCCTTTTTCCACTTCTGGTTCGCTGTCCTGTTGCCATTCGTCTCAATTATCAGTTTCCATTCATCCTCCCCCTAGCATTATCAATCCTACAGCTTTTCTAATGCTTTTTTAAGTTCCATCACATCTTCTAGAAGCCCTAAAATGGTTTCAATAAGCTTTAAGTTAAAACCAAAACCAAAATGCAGGTATGCAATGTGCAGCATAGCTGACATGGAAGCTAGGGTTCCGTGACATCGCAATTTTTGGGACTCCTGTGATTGTGGAATCGTCGCACCACCCTAATTTTTTTAATTTCAGCAATTTTATCTTCTTTTTTCTTCTTTCTTCTAATTTCTTTCCTACTTTCTTATTTCTAATTTGAGATTTCAAATTAGGTGATTGTTTATGTGTGATTTTGTTGCATTGTGTTTGTGTTTTGGAGGCATCATTCTAGGTTTTGTACTCTTCAGAGTTATAAATATCCTTCATTTTACCAGTGATGTGTTTGTATATTGTTCAGGAAAAAATGGTGAATCGTCATCGCCACCCATCCCTCATAATTTTCGCTACTACTGCGGTTTGGCAGCAGAAAGCTGCTATTGGGCAGAGGAAAACAGCATATTTCCGCTTCTAGTTCACTGTCTCGGCCTATTCAAGCCAGAATTCAGCTGTTATCATTCCTCCTACTTTGCTTACCCCTTCTACAACTTACCTATCCCTTTCTTGTAGTCTCTCACACCTTCTACAAGCCCTAGAACAGTGTCATCTAGTATTAGAACATGAAAAATCCTAAATTTTTAGGGATATGTTTTTCTTCCTGCAAATCCAAAATTCAAAAAAAAAAAAAAAAAAAAGACAACCTAATATAAATATATCCACTATGCCCAAACAATTCCAAACGTTAACAATAAATTTTCAAAATCCAGTATTCTTATCTACAACAAAAATCCATCTTGACACCTACCACCAAAACCAAGGCTCTCAGTAAACTTTTTATTTGCAATCCTATATCCGGCAAGAGCTGATTGAGAGAAAAGATCATCGTGTCACAAAGGAGTAACTCTTATCGAGGTGTACATGAACATAGTATGAAAGATATGAGGTGAAAGATCCTCCAACTGCAACAGAAGTTTACCACCTTTGAGAGGAGAAAATTCGGTGAGGCAGTATCGAGGTGTACATGAACATAGTATGAAAGATATCAGGTGAAAGATCCTCCAACTGCAACAGAACTTTACCACCTTTGAGAGGAGAAAATTCGGTGAGGCAACCCATAGCAACAATTAAAACTCGCCAGATGGATAGGAGGATGTGAATCCCTTCCATCAAAATATTTCTAGTACCTAAGAACCAATATTCTCACGATTTAGCATGAAATAACAGAAAAGAAATCAAGATTTTGGAGTAAAGATGAATCTATTGGATTTTGACTGTCGCACATATGCAGATAGATTCATTGATTGGCTTCAAATAATAGAACCATTTATTTAGTAAAAAACCATTCCCAACACAAAATAGTTAAATTGACAATCATCAGACTCAGAAAAAATAACTATTTGTGGTTGTAGAAACTGAAGCATCTTCTCCAACGAAAGATGAATAACATAATCACTACCTAGTTTAAGATGTAAAAAAAAGGATGCAACACAAATACCTTCCAAAATAATACCGACATAAAATGTTCATAAAATTTCTAGACCCGCACCAGAGAGATTCTTTTGTGGAACACAACTAAATTTGATCAACTAATGTTGAAATGTGAGTCGATGAAACTAGAGGAACACATAATGACAATATATCTAGAAGGACTGCGGTCAACACAACTGGTGCCTCACTGCACAAAAAGTGGAGAAATAACATCACGATGTGTATATCACATCTTATAGGCAGAATTGAACACCAGGATCAAGCAGCAAAAATACACTTAATGGAGCCAATCAAGTTAGAGCATAAATTCGTATAAAGTGGAGAAAATATGGAGTCCACTAATACACCTAATTCGTCCCAACCAAGAAGTACTTCAAGTGTCATGATTTTGGGCATATTGCATCTCATTGCAAAAATAAGATGGGGATTTTTTCACTGAGCAAGGAACAATTAAAAATAAACATATTGACATAGAAGATATAGGAGAAGGTGATAATGCAAATGAGAAGTACCAACTTCCAACCGACAAGAGAGATGCTAGTAAGCCGAAGGGTACTCCAAGCTGAGCAATTGAAATAGCAACAGTGGCTTCGCCACAATATCTTTCATACTAGTACCATGTCGAGGGAAAATGTGCAGCATCATTATAGATGAAGGGAGTTGTGAAAATTTGGCATCTACACAGCTTGTGGACAAATTAAACATCACTGCTTAGAAGCATTCTTTGTTATATTCAATCTTGACAAAAGATGCCTCATGGAGTTTTCCATAGAAAATAAATTCCAAGAGAAGTGTGGTGTGACATGATATCTATAAATGTGTGTGAGAGTGTCACATCCAATCAGACCATACTTGGCAGTATGATCATTGCACATATCGTGATGGCCACAAGAAAAAATATTCATTCACTAAAAATGGGAAGTGCATTGTACACTTGCCTCTGATGGGATGAGGTGTTCAAGGAGATGGAGTCACAAACTATCTTTTTGCAGATTTTAAGAGTAGTACTAGCATGTTTAGCATTGATTAACAAAGAGGGTGATGAGTTCGATGAGCCAATACCACACACATAGTAGACCTGCTAAGAGAATTTCATGATTTTCATTTATGCAACCTACCTCTTGAATTGTCATTGTAGAGAGATAGTTTTTGAGCTATTTCGTGAAGGTCCTATGAAATAAATTGGGTATTATGTTCTAGTTCAGTTCAAATGTGCACCCACAGCAAGATGTTCAGACATGAGTGGTTTTGCAGCTACGGAAATCGATTTAGTGTTTTATGAGAAAGAGCATCTGACAAGAGAATTGAGACCCTTCCAAAAAAAAAAGAACATGTCTCTCCTAGCCATGGATAACATAGAGGGAGTTGGGGTTCCATGAATTGTAGAACTTATGCGATAGCAGATGTGTCGAACTGTTGCAATTTTTATTTCAGTGATTTTTCCTCCTCTTTTCTTCTTTTTTTTTCCGATTTCTTTCCTATTTTCTTATTTTTAATTAGGTATTTCCTATTAGATGACTATTTATGTGTGTGTTTATACTGCTTGGACAATTTGGTTATTGTGTGTGTTTCCGAGACATTTTAAGTTTTAGTTTTCCGGAGTTTTGTATCATCGTCCTTAGAGATTTGGTGTGTTTGTATCTTGCTCAAGAACATGTGGTAAATCCTCCTCGCCGCCCATCCCTCGCCATTTTGTCGTATGCTTGCCGGTATTGCAGTTTGACAGCAGAAAGCTGTTGTTGGGTGGCAGAGAACATTAGTTTTTAGTTTTTGGTTTGCTGTTCTGCGGCCGTTCACACCTGAATTCAACTGCTATCATTCAGCTATCTTTAACCCCTCAACTTACCTATCCTTTTCTTGTATTCTCTCACACCTTCTAGGAGTCCTAGAACAGTGTCAAAACATTACCCAGAACCTCTATAAACTATTTATTTAACGAAAATTATACTAAGTATTTAAAAAAATAAACATTCTAAAAAGATAAATTAACCGCGGGAAAACATATACATATTTAAGAAATATAAAAATACAATAAATTAAATTAAATTAAAACACATCCAGATGATTTCACTAAAGATATTCAATATTTTCAAGTGATTAACACTCAATTTAAAACTTACACTCAGTGATTGTCAAGGTCGAGCAAAACATTACATTCAGAAAGATTCCATTACCAACACAAAGCAAAGCAAGAATCCATTGTATTTGATAAAAATAAGAAAATGATGATAAGACGAAAGGTGTACTTGAAAATGTTAAATATATCTAGCTAAACATTGATAAAGTGACAACAAAAGTAAGCACTTCTTTCTTAGGTTTAGTGAGCTTACGAGAATGAGAGCATATTTCTCACTTTCGGTGCGTCAGGCATGTTCATAAATAGAGAATTACTGAAGAAAGAAATTCGCCTTCGAGCCTCTAGGTTAGCTGGTACATCCATGGCAGATTCCTTCTCGGTAAGTAGCAAATTAAGCCTTTTTATCTGGAGTAATCAAACAGCATCAAGCCTGAAATCCAGGCGTTTGAAGTGGTATAAAAAATTGAAATAGTGCATGGTGCATACTTTCTCTGTCCAGGCGTCTGATTCAGGCAAAGGAAACCTAATAGCCCCAGGAGATGCAAACAACTGTGCTTGTTTTTCTGAAACTGTTATGCTCCCTGGCCTTCCATAAAAAGTTCCGTGGCTTGAATCTGGAACCCTGTTCAAGTAATAAAGTCACTTTAATTTTAAATCAAATATTTGTACAACAACATCAAAGCTTTATAAAGGGATTAAGAATGGAAAACTACAATTGAGAAAACTACTGATAATCTAATATTGTTATCAAATGAAATAGTAAACAAGTAATTGTTGGAATGGAAAACTACAATTGAGCATCATGATAGGTCAACTTGATTTCTAGACAAAAATCATAGAAAGAAGAGATAATGTCATGTCATGTTTAACTGTGTTGCATAGGAAGAGAAGCCTGGGAGGTTTTGCAGGCAAATAAGAAAAACACAAAAAAAAAAAAAAAAAAAAAAAAAAAAAAAAAAAAAAAAAAATCATTTCTATGACTATGATCCACACAGAATTGTTAAACAGCGGCAGTCTGCTTAAGTTATGTCCCTATTTTGCTGCCTAGGACTAGCAACATGAAGCTGTATATCCAAAAGAATGATTGTTACAGCTAAAACCCAAACAACAGTGTGAAACTTGGTTTATAAAAATCTAAAATTTAAGATATACTTCAATGCAAAAAGATAACAAGTCAAACTCCACTAGGAACCTGAAATATTAAACTTCCATCCAATATGGAGTACGTTGAGAAGATATTGTATACAAATGTACTATACATAGAGGGATGGCTAAAAAGCGTGACTTCTACATATTTGAAAAGGTATTTATATACAGAGGTCTATAAATAATATTAAGAATCCAGATAATTCTAAAAAAAATAATAATTACAAATTTAAACATTTCCCAAGTTTTCCCTCAAAGATATGGGTCAGCTTCCTGAAGCAGTAATTCTCTAATGAATCAGCATGTCCTGAATCTGTGGGAAGCATATTACCCTTTTTGTTTTATGACGCATTCATTCCTCATCAAAATTGTATGCACTTGAATCTGCGAGATGTCTATTTCCTTTTCTGTTGTTGATGCCAAATGGTATTTGCATTGCTGTTTGAATCCGTTGGACACTTCTTTTCTTGCCCAAAGTCTCATAAAACAATCCCTACACAGTTCGCCATCTAACCTTACGAATGGAGCCAGCAGATGTCCGCCAATGCCCCATTCATGAGTCTAATTATTAGGTGCGGAGAGCGCACGCAGGGCGCACGCAGCTCTACGTGCGCTCTCCGCACGCAATAATCGCTCCATTCATGAACACTCCCCCGTAAACTACTTGCTAGAAGTATATCATTCCTAATTTGATTAGAACATCTTTGAAAGCAAGAGTGCAAAATCCTTTGGTGAATATATTCTCTAAGAAAATATTTGTTCACCTCCATGTGTTTGGTTTAATCATATTGAACTGAATTGTATGCAACGCTAGTTTCTACTTCATGAGCGTCTTATCTTAAAATTACCATATAAAAATAAAGCAATATGGATCAGCAACTGCGCACATCTCATGAATAAACGTGGCGTACTTAAACAAATGACATACAAAAACAAAGTGCTTTTGAAAGCACCATAGAAAATAGAACGCCAACAAAATAAATATTAACAGCAATATATAAAAATATTTTCCCTGCATATTTTTCAAAGACAAATAACTTTGGGATAGGAATTGATCTAACATCTCCACAGCCATAAATACTTACCAATATTGCCCAGTCTAAGCAACTAGATTTCCTTACGACCCAAAATTAAAACGCTCACATGTAGCATTAAACTATAATGTAAAAGTTATTCCATAGTACATTAACCACGATAGTGCAAAAACTATAACTTGAAACAGTGGTAAGTAAATTGATATGTGCCTACTCAGGAAACTGTTCTTCCATCATGTCTCTTGTGACAACTTCCAGCATATCTTGGAAAATAAGCACAACTCGATCGCTGTCCTCTTCCTTATTATCCATCTGCAACAAGAAAGTTATCAATTCTCTGGGAATTTAACCTCGACATATTTAGTAATAGAAACTTTGGGTTTCTAAGTTAGAACTACCAAGATTTTTATCAATTCAATAAATTTACTGTTGAGAGCTGGAAGAGCGCTCATCTTCAACTCCGCTATTAATTTGTTGTCATTTATCAGCTCATCAACTTTGTTGAAGATGTTACTTATAATCCTACAATAAGGGAAGGAAAGACAAAAGAACAAGTTTATCAACAAGAATCTTCCCCAGACCAAATAAAAAGGTAATTAATCAAACAAGGAAACAAAATAGACACGCAAATAAGCAAAAACAACAAAAAATTGTAACCACAAGCATACTTACTCCTTCTCACGATCACCATTCACAAGGCTGTTAATAATATTCTTAAATGACAAATAACATTCCTTAACAGCGCATGCCATATAATGATCAGTAACAAGTCTTTTTCTCAAATCCCGATCTTTGCCTCTAGAATCTTTTGCCATATCCAAGGCAATTGGAATCTGTCTAAGCTTAAAATTTTTTAGAATACAAAAAGAGAATGATAATTACCTAATAGGCAATATCAACAGTTCAAATAAAATAAAAACAAAACCTTGCTAGCAAGTAAGAAAGGAGGCCACTGAACAAGGTTCAGATCTCGGTCAGCCCAGTACGGAACGAGCATTAAATTCATTTCCCTGTATGCCAAGGAAAGATTGTGATGCTAACAAAATACTATATCATGAAAAGTAAAACTGAGTAAAAATTCCATACTGCTAAATAGTGTAGCTACCTGTTATTAATGAGATCTTCTTCGCGAAAACTAGTGATTATATTGTTCCACATTTGAGCAAATTTTGCAGATTCCTTCTCCCTATCACTGTGCGGTATCTAAAATTCCAAGTTACATTAATTTCAAAGAACCTAATGATGGAGACATTGAATTTTTAAGAGCAATTAAGAAGAAGACATTTAGATCATTGAGATATTCAAGATTAGAAGAGCAGTGGAAAACACACAAATTCCAATAAAAAGAGCAGATATCAAACCTTAGCAAATCTACGAGATAAAGAAGCTTTTAAACCCTTCTTTGCAGTTGAATCAGATTTGTCAACTGGAATTAGACGTGCATTGAAAGCACCCGGCAAAGTCAGGAATCTAGACCTTAGCATTCCTAAAGTCCGTATCTGTATTAATCAAAGTTGGAAGATAATGAAAAGAAAATTCACAAAAGAAATTAAGCAAAATGCACGGATACTAATAAATAGCTAATGATATGAACAGAAAACTTATGTAGCTAAAAAAGGCAATATAAGTGTAGCCAAAAACACAAAAAAAAATGCTTTTAAAATTAAAATGCAATTCCCAGCAGTGAAGTTGTGCACCGCTTTGCAATAAGCAGGCTTAAATTGGAAAATACACCCAAAAAAATGAAGAGTATACTTAATCTTCTATTATAAAGGTGTTCAACGCAATGTGAAACTCCTTCCTGATCAAATAAAGACCCACCCAACAACAGGTTAATATAGGGTATTGCTCACCCAATGCCTGAATGTTTGCTAGTTAGTAATAATTGTTGTTGTTAATATTTGACTTAGGATACATTGATTATTTCATTTTTTAAATTTTTATAATGAATCTTAAATGGTAATTCTTGTTAATATTTGACTTAAGATATGTGCTTTATTTCAACATACATCAAAACAAAAATAATCCTTGCATGACGCATCGTATTTTCTGAATTGAAAACCTTGGAGAATACTAAATTCCCCATCATATAGAATAAGAGGTCGCATCATCATTGGCCTATTCAATTATTTAAAGTTAAGTTTATAAATCTTTATTTTGTAATTGATTTACACGCAATCTTTAAATAAGTTATATCAATTGCTTAAGATCACAATCATTCTATTTACCCCTCTTACGGGTAAACTCTCTGCCTTCTAATCTACATGCCTAAACCACATAAATGCATTTTCCACTGCCATTTTCAAAATAGGTAAAACCCCCACAATCTCTATAATATATTGCCTCTCTCATTAGAGAAAATTTTTACCACAAATTTTCTCATTTCTATTACAATGAATTTGACTGTTCACGACTCATTTGTTTTCAAGGATCAAATTAATAAAAAAAAATATTTAAGCTGAACGATATTTTATTATGTCCCCATGACTTTCATTTATTGCAAAGTCTTCTAGACACATTTCAACAATTTTAAACACCCAAGGAAAGTATAATAGTTGATGTTCTAATAAAAATCACCACTAACTTATACAGAACATTCTATATTAATAAAAATTATACCCACAACATATAATTATAGCTTGCAGAATTCTTAAATTATAATTATCAATTCATATTCACTGACTGATGTTTGTTCTGCTTAAAAAAAAATTGAAGTGAAAGAAATTTAGTAAACAAAGAACACATCGTGATAATCCTCACGTATGTGAGGGGTCTCATATATTATAAATGTCCTTTGCTAATAACACGCACCAAGCTAATCAATCAATATCTTTTGAATGCATATTTATCAATAATTAATTTTTAGATATTCATAACTATATAAAGATAGAAGTGCAGAAACAGAAAATACCAAAATCTTATAAACCGTGCAACAAAGATAAAGCTACTATGGATAAAACCAAAAGAATGTTTTTAAAGATGCACTTCACGAGTTCTTACAGATTATCCACGAAATCTAAAGATTAATTCCAACTGTGAGCAATACAGAACCATATTTACACAAGCACATCCCATGAACAAATGGCAAATCCAGCTGAAGCATGACCAAAGTTTCAGAGTTTAACAAAATAAAAATTATTTAATGAATTTATGAATTGCCAGAGCATCGTTCAATAAAAGGCAATGCGCATAAAATTGAAAAAGCTAATTAATAATTAAAAAAAATAAAATTTGGAGTGATAAAAAAAAACACTAGTTGTTAGCCAAACCTATTTATAAAGAGCCAAGCAAAAAATAGAAGGGAATAGTCATCCTATGGCAAGGCAAATAAATGATGAAAAGCTTCACCAACCTCTCCAAGACGACGATAAGCACCATATATTCCTCCAACTAATGTGGAGAAAATTGCATACCAGATCTGTGTATCCATGAAATATACCTGAACAGTATGAAAAAAAAGTAAATTTTGTGAATACAGCAAGAAATAAACGCATATAATCGAATTCAATGTTAAAAAACCTTACGAGAATAATTGGGGCCCAAAGTGCAATTAGAACACCGACGTTACTCTTCGCTGAAACACAAAACGAATATATTCATCGATTTGGCAAAAATTATAACTCAATAGATTCTCTAAAATATTACCATGGGGAAAGAACTCATGCCATTTATAAGTAGAGATGGGGCTTCTCATAATATCTTTTGTTGGATTGACAAGGGGCTTGATCTGAAAATAAACAATGTGCATCGGACAAAACACACTAAAATGTAAGATGCTTTCAAAAGGTAAGAATAAAAGTTCACGTAAAAAACAAAAAATAAGATCTATCAACACAATTTTAAGTGGCTAACGAACCAGAGTACTACCATTCATAAAATTGTGGGTATGATTAATCTAACAGCCAAATTCTCAATCATCAAGAAATTGTATGGTTTGGCTAAACAAACCTCATGGTTTTATCTTTGTGGTGCGACTAGGGTGTAAACGAGCTGAGCTTGAGCGAGCCCAAGGCTTGTTTATGTTCGGCTCATTTGTTTTTTTTTCTTTTTTTTTAATCCATGTTCGGCTTGTGTTCGAAATTGCTCGTGAAAAGATTGTTTGTGTTCGGCTCGATACAAGCTCATTTCCTTGAATTAAGCTCGTGTCCGGCATGAACTAGAGCTCAACACCCATAAATCACATGCGGGCTAGGCCACATTGCTAATGGCCTATTGCTCAAATGAAAAATTCCTTGCATTTAAATAACTCTAATGGCGTAGGTAAACTTCTCCCACACAGGTGGGACTAAACAAGTGATCGTGGCTTTTTTTTTTATTGACATCTAGATGCATACTAGCCAATTCCTATGTATTTACATATTTAAGATATTTAACGGACTATTTGGGGCTTAGCTTTGCTTTTTTTGTTCTTTTTGTTTTCGGGCATTTACATGCATAATAGCCAATTTCTATATCCAACACCTAAACTTTACTTTTTATATTAATACCGCCAAAATCTTGTAAATGCATTTTTTTAATAAAAGTACAAAATTAATATAAATAAAATTATTATTTAATAATTGATTTATTTAGAGCCTAAACATGCCAAACACAAACGAACAAACATATGTTCAAGTTCGACACGTTTATAAATTGAGCTTGTTCGTGTAGGTTCGCATGTTTAACAAATGAATCAAATAAGAGCTACTTATAAAACCGATCACAAGCTATTCTAGGAGTAACTTCCTAGAAAGAAAACTTAAAGCTTATGCAGACAAACATTTGAAGAAAACGTAAAAGTTAAAATTTTGTTTATCTGATTAAAATCTAAAAGTAGAAAAATTATCATATCAAAACTTTAAGCTCTTTTTATTTGATAATTTTTAACATCCACATGAGCATATCATGTTTTAAAGATTAATCTATATTCAATTTTATTCATCATCTCATTTTCTAGGAATTGGTTATATGTTCTTCTACTATTATCCATCAAAATCATATTTAACATTTTTTGCATTTTCATTACTACTCATATATCATTTGCATGGATGTTAAAAAAAATTGATTAGTAACCAAGGAATTATATCTCTATTGTCAATAAAAATAGAATAATTGGAATTTAAACAAAGTGATAAGAGTATGTTTAGATCCAAAGGGTATTCAAACAATAAGTTTAAAAGAAATTATCTGCAAGAAAAACAAGACCATATAAAAGTATATTGGGACAAACGCTAAAATATTAATATCTTAATAAAACTTAAATATTCTTTTTTGGTTTTCAATATACCTAACTTGACTTCATTGTCATTCTGAATTAGGATATTCGTATAGTTATCTAATTCATAGCTTCCAAATTACTTTATTATAGAATAAACACATGAAAACAGTGATAGTGAGATCAAGATGTGTTGTTTAATATTTTCAATTATTCAGCAGAAATTATCATTTGAACTACAAATAAATAAAATGACTTACATTCAATTCCCAAAATAGCTACTCACAATCCACAATTTCAGTGCATCTTCAATGCTCCATTTTTAGCCAACTTGCTAATTATGGTAATCATTTATTCATTGAAGCCGTATATGACGTTAGCTATCATTGCTGCATTCTGCTTCACATTCTCTCATCCTTTTGGAAACTGTGGCAAACATTTCATTTTCAACAGCTCTCTTCCTTACCTATTAGGGGATTTGGTGGTTTTCTTCCTTCCCGTCCCGATTTTGCATTATATATAGTTGTGACTAATGATATGTAACAGTAAATGCGGAACTGAATTGTTCTGCTGTGTTCTTAACTTGAAATTGTTTTGGTACTATAACAAAATGGGAAGTATATTAATCATTGTATCATGTAGTTCCTAGTGCTATAGCAAGATATACAGCCGTTGATTTTGTGCAATGGCAAAATCATAAACTTGATCTTATATAGTGTCAGATAAATTATCAATTAATTCCTGGTTTTAAATATAAATACCTCTTAGGACATGAAAAGCTCGCAAAAGGGCTCGAAAAAAACTTAGATTTTCCCTAAGACCTCTATGTGCGCTATTTGATTCAAAGTCTTAAAATGTGCTGTAAGTCTTGGCACTTTCTTTAGGGATTTAGTTCATCTCTCTCTCTCTCTCTCTCTCTCTCTCTCTGTCTTGGCACTTTCTTTAGGGATTTAGTTCATATCTCTCTCTCTCTCTCTCTATTATCTATTGATTTGCGTGTGTGATTGAGCTTTGGTCAAAACAAAGACGATCTGATTTTTTTTCTTGCCATGTAAATACTATAGTTAAGCGTTCACATTTCAATCTTAAAATTTGCGCACTTGTTTCATCATTAAATAATTATTTGGAACAAGTCTAGTGTGCCTTTTGAATTGCATCAGAGAGTTTTAGCTTAACATGAGATGGAGTGCAAAAATTTATCTTTCACGAGCGTCCTGCATCTCACCCTAGATTTTCGTGAGTCACAACACAATAATTTAAGAGTTGATATTCTCATTAGTGGCCCGGTTAAGGTCGGGCCGGCAATTATGAGTTAGAAAGTCAAGCACAAGCTATAGGACAATAGTCCGATGCAGGAGTGTGTGGAGGAAGCAGGTAGAGATTATCACCACATCGGAGTAAGATATAGCTGGAGCACCACCTAACCCTAGCAAGGGTATCAATCAGGAGTAAATGAAATCAGACAAAATAAAGAGTTTCCTTCTTCGCAATGCTGCAAATAAGGAAATATTATATTTACATGGATTTTTTCCTTTCAGCTAAATATTTAGATTAGGAATATATATTAATTAAGTTAACCTAAAATAGATTATACAGAAAATTATGTACCTAAAATAGATCGTACAAACTATTATTTATTGAAATGAAAGCAAAGGAAAAGACATTCAGTCTATTTGCTCAAAATATTGACATGGTATCAGAGTTTGTTGGGAGTCTCAATTATCTGACAATTACATGTCCTAATATTTCATTTGTTGTGCAACAAGTTAGTCAATTTATGCAAACACCTACAAGCCCCTACACATCTTCATTTAGCTGTAGTTGGACGTATTGTTCGGTATTTGAAAGGTACTTATCATGATTTGTTCTTTTCTGCAGAGTCTCCTATCACCTTATCAGCTGATAGCGATGTCGATTGGGCTGATTGTTCTGATACACGCTGATTTATTACTGGATGGTGCATGTTTCTTGGCAACTCTTTAAACTCTTGGAAGAGTAAGAAACAAGATCGAGTGTCTAAGTCATCTACTGAAACAGAATATCGCATTGTCCTCTACTTGTTCCGAGATTATTTAGCTTCAGGGTGTGCTGGACGAGCTTGGTTTTCCTCAGCTTGTATCTACTTCTTTTCATGCGGATAATATTAGCACTATTCAGATTGCTGCTAATCTCGTCTTTCAAGAGCGCACAAAATAAATTGAAGTGGACATTCATTTTATTCCAGAAGCCTATGAGGATGGTGTTGTCTCTTCCTCATAACACTTCTGATCTTCAAACGGCTGATATATTTACTAAGGCTTTCTCAACAGCATCATCAGTTTCTTATCAATAAATTGATGTTTTTTAATCAACCAAACAGCGTCATCAATTTCTTATCAATAAATTGATGTTTTTTAATCAACCAACATCAATTTGAGTCGGAAATCAATCAGGAGTAAATGAAATCAGGCAGAATAAAGAGTTTCCTTCTTCGCAATGCTGCAAAGAATGCAAAGAAGGAAATATTACATTTACATTGATTCTTTCCTTTTAGCTGAATATTTAGACTAGGAACATGTATTAATTAAATTACCTAAAATAAATTATACAGATTAAATTACCTAGAATAAATTATACAGAATATTATGTACCTAAAATAGATTGTACAAGCTATTATTTATTGGAATAAAAGCAAAGGAAAAGACATTCAGCCTAGTTGCTCAAAATATTGACATGGGAAAACGCTTAAAAGCAGAATCTGAAATCAGAAAGATCAAGACTTAACCCGAACACAACAAACAACATATTTATAATAAATAAATAAAAAGGGGAAAGAGGTAGTTTCTGCCCAAGTGTTGGTCAGTCGGTCCAGCCTCCCTGTTGAACCAACTCCCCTACTATTGAACCGCAAGGTTTAGCAAATAAAACCCTTCGTCAGTCTCCCGGGGGTGGGGGAGCCTTCACTTCAAGTGTGAAGCTTCTTGGTCTTTGTAGTACGGTGTCATGTCCGCGATATTGAATGTGACAAAAACGTTATAATCCCCTGGCTGGTCAATTTTATATGCATTATCATTCAGCTTCCGAAGCATTCTAAAAGGTTTGTCTGTTATGAGCTTGAGATTTCCACAGCACCTACTGGAATCCTCTCTTTCTTCAGACGGATCCACACTGTCTCTTTTCTTAAAGGTCACATTTTTCGTTGTCTTGTTCGCCTATGTCTGATACTTATAATTTTGCTTAGTGATCTCTTTTCTAAACTCCTCGTGGAGCTTTTGAATCTCTTGCACCAGTGTGAAAGTCTTACTAATGCCAAAATGCCCTGCACATCCTACAATGTGACCTTCCTGGGCAAAGGACTCCCTCCGTGAACATCTTTAAATGCACAACTTACTATGGCATTACAAGTAATCATTAGCTTTATAGTACTACCCGATTAGGTTTCTCCTTACATTGCTTCCAGATTTTCATGAAATCCTTGTCTATCTCATACAGCTCCATTACTACCTCAAAGCCTATAACTCAAGCTCGCATCGCATCGATCGGCAAGTGACGGC